AATTAATAAAATTAATAATAATAAAAAAAATTTTTAGTAATGATTTTATTTTACTTTGAAAAAACATTGTCATTTATCGAATAACAATTATGACACTTTCCTCTATAAGAGCTAAGATAATTTGATAAATTCTACATAACATTTATTAATTTTTCTAAACATTAAAAAAGATCTAGAATGTAGATACAAAAAAATATTCGATTTTTTTAATTGTATATTAAAATTCGTCATATATAAATGCAGATTTTAGCAACACGCGTTACATAATTATTTAAGAATATATTAAGAAATAATTTTTATTGTCACATTTATTAGATTTATTATTATTTTATTAGACGGTATTTATGATTGACATTGCACAATCCTCGTCGCACAACTTGAGCGTTACTTTCGAAATTCGTGAAGCGTAAAAGATCTGGAAGGCTACGAAAACGAAATGGCTCGACAACGTAGGCGTTTCGCGATTTTCTGCCAGTAAATGGCACTTTAATGACGCGGCTCGCAAACAGTTGATTCGTGGAAAATATAATATTTAATGACTATTTCGTGGTAAGGCCGTTAACGTACCAAGTCGTATATACTTTCAGTAATCAACGAGATCGAATCTCGTTTTGAGGAGTCGATTTTTAAGCAGCGTGGTTAAACAAATATATCTCAACGCGTTATATTAAATCGAAAACAAATTGAAAGCCTAATGAGAGAACGAATCAAGTATTTCGACGCTTTACGAAATAGCTATAATAAAAAAAAATATTGTTTAAAATATATTTTTAAATTTTTATCAAATATTTTGCTTTATATTTGTATATTAATAATGCTATATGATATTACTATATATATATATTGTGTATTTATTGAGAAGGAAAAACTTTCTGACTTTTTGCTTTCAAATTAAAAATTTTTTCTTTTAATATATTTCACGAAAATGCAAGTTGAAAGGATATTTGCACGCTCGTGGTACACTTATCTGCTAAGGATATGTGAGCGATCGATCCATTCGGAGATTGATAGATCTATGAATTACAGACATATGATACGCATCTATACCGATTACGCAAGCAGCCGGTCGCAAACTAATACCCGAAATAAATTATGCAGAATCGACCCAATGATATCACGATTGAGTTTTTTGACGTGTGATACCGGTTTCAGAAATAGATTTATTTCCTTATTTTATTATATTTATCGAATAATCAAAAAAATCATATGTGCAACCATTAGCTAATGTGTTGGTTGATATTTTATCATATTAAAATATGTGTTCAAACGTTACATTATATAAATTGTTATCTTTATTATTTTACATATGTTAACATTAATTCGATGAGATCTCCTTAGCAGATTTAATATATTACACACATATATTAAATTGAAGTCATTAATAAAATTTTATTCAACAGAATATATTTAAAAAACAAAATAAATGTACTAAGATTAGAAAAGGTCTGTTGCTACACGTCTCAATTAATCTTTTTTGAATCATTTTCTTTCGAATGTGGATATATATATGTAATAGATGATAAAAATGTATCATTAATTTTATATGCGTAAAAATTTTAATTTTTTTCCTTATTATTATGACGGGGCTATAAATATGTACGACTTTAATGTTTTTATTCATGATCGTTTCTGTTTTATGATTTGAGAAGGATTTACGTTGAGCTTACGCAAAATCGCGTTGATTTCCTCTGAAAGTTGAATATTCCCTAAAAATCTGAATATACGATAACATCAAAATGATAATTAGATAATTAATGGTCGTACCATAGCGATCTGCGGAATCTTTGGATTACCCGCATCCAATTATCATCAGCTTAATCAGAAATAGCAATACGAGTCTTATGAATGAACGAAGAAGCGAGTTCGTGTGAGTTGACTTGCGCGAATCCACGCTTTCCGTATAATTCCAGGCGAGACCGTTTTCTACGACGAACCTTTCCGCGTAAGGGTTCCCCGCGATGTTCCTTTTGCCGTGCCTCCAATGGTCTCGGGGTACACGAAGCCATTAATATTATTACCGAGCGAGAGCGTGTGGGTATCATTATCGCGGACGATAGAAAAAACGACTATCGAAAGAGGGACGCCGAGGAACAAGAAAGCGAGGAAGAGAAGAAGGAGACACGGATGGTAAGAGGAGGACGGTGAGAAGGAGGCAGCGGTGGTATCCTCAAGTAAGAGCACCTTTATACACTCGAGTTGAGGAGGCTCCTCGATTACGCGGGCATTCGAAATTTTCGGGGCTCTTCC